TGAATTATATGAGTTCAGATCACTTATTTTTGAATTTTATATTTTGGATGTAAACAAACTACGTCATCGTACGCCCACCTATTGCTAACAGGTATGAGCTCGTTTCATTTATTGGCTTGATTTTCCTGTGGCTTGAAATTCGATTTCTGACTTTTATGCAAATTAGCTAGCTATATGTATAATAACGCATAATGCGTAATAGCTGAAATATATATACACTAATTACGAAAACGYTGTCCTGAGATTTAAGGATTTAGGAAATTAAGAATACATTMAAAGACAAAGCATGACCACTGAAGCCGAACACTTTSTTTAGTATGTTAATTAATTCCTAAATAGTAAAAGTTCTTTTTTCTTGAACAACGTTTGTGTAATTAGGTGTATATATGCCCTGAACTCTTGTGTCTATACCTTGCGGTTGTTGGGGTTCATTAACAGTACTGGTTTCCATAGGTTCAATACCATCCACACTATCAATAGGTCCATCGTGACAATCATATAAATGCCTCACTGTCGCTATTTTCACGGCATTTTTTGACAAGTTGGGGTAACGACTATCTGGACAGATCCCATAGTTAGCAAAATTCTTATTTAGGTTCTCTGGCGTTGTCTGTGCTAGTATTCTGTAGGTATTTTCTCGTTCAGCAATGATTTCTAGAGGCCTTTTTCCAAGACCAAAGCTACGCATAGCCCAGGCAGCGTCAAARCAGCCAAGGAAACCTCGAGCACACCCTGAACCAGTAGGCCAAAAAGGCTGAAATAGTGTACATGTATCATTATTATAACTGACTATCAAAATAGCGCAAAATATGACAAGCTCGCTAGAAAATATAAACAGTTTTGCAAACAAAGTGCTCAATGAAGATGGCCATCAGAGAAATATGTTATAACTAAAAAATAGAAACAAACTATCGTGCGCGTTAGCACGTACTCTTTGACGGCATACAAAACATTGAGAATAGAGTACCGAAGTGTGACGTCACCATTTTTTTTTTTCTATAGTTTTGTTTCCTTTTTGAATAGTTGAGGTGACGGTTTTGACCGCCATTTTGTTTGGGTAGGCAAAGTCTCGCAAAATAACAAAAATGTAGTGAGAAATCGATGTCAAGTAATTCCAGCTGAATTTCCTCCTTAGATACCACGAAAAGGAGTTAACTGGCGAATTTTGAAGGACTCCGTTGATATTATGAATGAGTAAACTTATTTTTAGTTATACATAGATTCCTTTGTACATGTAATACTTCCGGGGTTACCGGCACGTGACTCCAGTGCCTACTCAAACAAAATGGTGTTAAAATTGTCACTTGATCTATTGATTTATATATAATTTATATCATA